ATTCTGCTTTTAATCTTTAATGTTGGTTAAAAAGTAATAATGCATCTTTATGACATGAATTATAGTGATAAATATTTCAAGGAGTTGCATAAATCTGCCATGTCATAGAGATGCAAGGTGGTGAAGGATGATGCCTGACTTGAAAGACGAGCATTTCCCTTTTGAAAAGGATCAAAGGGAAAATCATCATGCCTGACTACCTCCGTTATCTCCTTTTGCATATCACTTCAGATGCTTACATGTAAGGCCACTAGCAAGCTCCTTGGTTATGAACATGTTAGACTGCTCTGAATCGACCTGTCAGCTGTGGGATTTCTTAAAAAGTGGTTCCCACAGGTGTGTTGTGAATTATTTGATGGCTACAATATTTAGTGATGATTTTTCCCATGGAAGTGAAGAAACGCAACAGATATGAATGTTATGTAACACACACTTACACTCTTATGATATACACACATAAACAAATAGATACACATGATAGATACACACTATACATTAGATAATGTTTTTTTTTTCTAAATACAATGGGACCTTTGTATTTGCAATGGTTTGCTTCCAGCTCCCACACCCCACTTTGTGGATGCCAAATTCTGTGTATTTTCAAGTTTAATTATTTACAATGGCACAGTAAAAATGGTGCCCCTTATGTAAAGTGGTAAAATCAAGATTTTTTTTTATTTTCATTTTTGGAAGAAGGAAGAAATACTTGAAGCCATGGATAGTTGAAGCATGGTTGCAGAATCCATGAACATGGAAGATCAATTATGTGAAAAACATAAACAGATATATTAAAAATGAGCAAAGTTTGAACAATGTCTATGTATGTGCCTATACTCCTTCAAGTTGCCTGTCAACCATGAAATTCAAAGGCAAAGTATACTCAGAAGTAATTATGCTAGTTCCTTCCTCTGAATTATATTTGTGTCAAAGTTGCCTGACTAGCCCTCTTCTCCTCTCCTCCCTCCCATCTCCATCTCAACCCTTCCCATCAGCACTTTCAATCCTTCATTGCCTGACAAGTACCTCCAGTTCTTTGCCAAGAACTGTTCCATTGTATAATTTACTATTATACTATATAAGTTGTTAATAGTTAATCTTCCAACACAAAAGGCCTTGGAGACTAATTTGGATTTCACTTCATTTCCTGACACAAGAACCTGAGATCCCATTTACCTGAATCGAGAAGTGTACTGCTTCCAGAGCAGTGTTTCTTAACCTGGGGGTCGCAAGGGAGTGTCAAAAAGGTCACTAAAGACCATCAGAAAACACAGTATTTTCTGGATCGTTGTAGCTTTTTTCGGGCTATATAGCCACGTTCTAGAGCAGGAGTCCTCAAACTAAGGCCCAGGGCCAGATACGGCCCTCCAAGGTTATTTACCTGGCCCTCAGGGTCAACCTAAGTCTGAAATGACTTGAAAGCACACAACAACAAGAACAGCAGTCCTATCTCATCAGCCAAAATCAGGCCCACACTTCCCATTGAAATACTAATAAGTTTATATTTGTTAAAGTTGCTCTTCATTTTAATTATTGTATTATTTTWAAATGTTTTTTAGCACTACAAATAAGATATGTGCCGTGTGCATAGCGTTTCATTCATGCTTTYCCCCCCTTCAAATTATAATCYAGTCTTTCAACAGTTTGAGGGACTGTGACCTGGCCCTCTGTTTAAAAAGTTTGAGGACCCCTGTTCTAGAGGCATTCCCTCCTGACGTTTCGCCTGCATCTATGGCAAGCATCCTCAGARGTAGTGAGGTCTGTTGGAACTAGGAAAATGGAYTTATATATCTGTGGAATGATRTCCAGKGTGGGGYAAAGAACTCTTGTCTGTTGGAGCTAGGTGTGAATGTTTCAACCAACCACCTTGATTAGCATTTGTTGGCCTGGCAGTTGTTTGGTGTGACTTGTTAGTGCCTGTAGCTCCGGAGGCTCAGACGGGGTCTGCGGAGGCCAGGAAGGCAGTCAGGTGCCCTCGGGATGGGCCGTGAGAAAGGGGTGTCWGGASAAGCATTCCAAGTTGCGCGAGAGCAAGCGGAGCTGGCAGAGGGAGTTCTGGCCCACTCACCAGCCTCCTTTTAATAGGACGTAAATACTTTATATTTTATTTTAATATTTACAAAACCCCGCGAAACAGCRAGTCCGTGTAAAGYGAACCGCGAAGTAGCGAAAGAACACTATTTGTGCCACRTTGCATCCAGATCCATCATTGTTTGAGTCCACAGTGCTCTCTGGATGCACAACTCCAAAACTCAAGGCCAGTGCCCACCAAACCCTTCCAGTATTTTCTGTAGGTCAGTGGAATTCTGTGTGCCAAGATTGGTCCAATTCCGTCATTGGTGGAGTTCAGAATTCTCTTTGCTGGTAGGTGAACTATAAATCCCAGCAACTACATCTCCCAAATGACAACATTAATTCCTCCCCCAACYCCAGCATCATTCAAATTTGGGTATACATTTGAGCCAAATTGGATCCAGTGCATGAAARTACATCCTGCAGATCCAATATTTATATTACGATTCRTAACAGCAGCAAAATGACAGTTATGAACTAGCAACAAAAATAATGTWATGGGTKGGGGGTCACCACAATATGAGGAACTGTATAAATGGGTCATGGCATTAGGAAGGTTGAGAAACACCAATCTAGAGCAAACATGCCCAATAGAACAAATTTTCAGCACTGATGGAGTTTTTCAGGGTTAACCTGGCATAATGTGAGCTGTAGTTTATTTATTTATTTATTTATTTAATACACTTGTATACCGCTAATATCTCAGCCTAAGTCGGCGACTCATTGCGGTTTACAACAATTAAAAACAATATACAATTTAAAACAACAACACATAGACAATACAAATTATTGGGCCACCAATAATAATACCATGTATCTCGTCACTAAAATCACAGTCCAGAATTCGTCATCCATAATTAACCAGTCCTTAGTCCATAAAATTCGGTGATAACAAACTAACCGAATGCTTGTTTACACAACCATGTTTTTAATCTCTTCCGAAACACCATCAGCGAAGAGGCTGATCGTATCTCTATAGGGAGGGTGTTCCAAAGCCGAGTTCACCCACAATGGTATGCATTTTGGACAATTAAAACAATGACTTTTTCAAATAACCAGAGAAACATTGGGTCCCCAAGCTAGTAAGCATTAATATAGAATTCAATAGAATTAAAGCCCATTGAAATAATTGAAGGCACCATCTAAAACCGACATTTCGCCTGCATACGATATAATAATATCGTATGCCGGGGCATGGTACCGAGACAGCTTTGGTCCCCTTAGTGGATGATCTGCGTCGGGAGCTCGATAGGGGGAGTGTGTCCCTGTTGGTGCTGCTCGACCTCTCAGCGGCCTTCGATACCGTCGACCACGGTATCCTTCTGGGACGCCTCGCGGGGATGGGTCTTGGAGGTACTGTTCTGCAGTGGCTCCGCTCATTCCTCGAGGGTCGGTCTCAGAAGGTGTTACTGGGAGACTCCTGTTCAACCCCACAACCTTTGTCTTGCGGGGTTCCTCAGGGTTCAATACTGTCTCCCATGTTGTTTAACATCTACATGAAGCCGCTGGGCGAGATCATCCGGAGTTTCGGAGTGCGATGTCATCTGTACGCAGATGATGTCCAACTCTGTCACTCCTTTCCACCTGCTACTAAGGAGGCTGTCGAGGTCCTGAACCGGTGCTTGGCCGCTGTGACGGTCTGGATGGGGGCGAACAAATTGAAATTGAATCCAGACAAGACAGAGGTACTCCTGGTCAGTCGTAAGGCCGAACAGGGTATAGGGTTACAGCCTGTGTTGGATGGGGTCGCACTCCCCCTGAAGACGCAGGTTCGCAGTTTGGGTGTGACCCTGGACTCATCGCTGAGCCTGGAACCCCAGGTTTCGGCGGTGACCAGGGGAGCATTCGCACAGTTAAAACTCGTGCGCCAACTGCGCCCGTACCTTGGGAAGTCTGACTTGGCCACGGTAGTCCACGCTCTGGTTACATCCCGTTTAGACTACTGCAACGCTCTCTACGTGGGGTTGCCTTTGAAGACGGCTCGGAAGCTCCAGCTAGTCCAACGGGCGGCAGCCATGGTACTATGAAGACAGCCCGGAAGCTCCAATTAGTCCAACGGCCGGCAGCCATGATACTAACAGGAGCGGGGCGCAGGGAGCATACAACTCCTCTGCTGCACCAGCTCCACTGGCTGCCGATCTGTTACCGGGCTCAATTCAAAGTGCTGGCGTTGGCCTTTAAAGCCCTAAACGGTTCTGGCCCAACTTATCTATCCGAACGTATCTCAGCCTATCAGCCCACCAGGACCCTAAGATCTTCTGGAGAGTCCCTGCTCTCTATCCCGCCGGCTTCACAAGTGCGGCTGGCGGGAACGAGAGACAGGGCCTTTTCTGTGGTGGCCCCTCGGCTTTGGAACACCCTCCCCATAGAGGTAAGATCAGCCCCTTCGCTGATGGTGTTTCGAAAAAGATTGAAGACATGGATGTTTGAACAAGCATTCGGTTAACCCGGTGCAATTGAATTTTGATGATTAAAGGATTGGTAATCATGGACGATGAATTTGGATTATGATTTTAGTTGAGAGATGCATTGGTCTGTATTGGTGGCCCAATACTGTGTATTGTATATGTGTTTTATGTTTTTAAATTGAATATTGTTGTTTTTAAGTGTTGTAAACCGCAATGAGTCGCCGTTTTAGGCTGAGATATTAGCGGTATACAAGCGCATTAATAAATAAATAAATAAATAATAACATTATTATTATTATTATTATACAATATTATAATTATATATGTTATATTACATATAATATTACTAATAATATTACCATATAATGGCATAGTACAATATAGTTATATATAATACTAATATTGTGCTATGATAATAATATAATATATTGTATTATATTATTATATTGTATTATATTACTTGTGTGCCGCTCTGAGTCCCCTTCGGGGTGAGAAGGGCGGCATATAAATGTCGCAAATAAATAAATAAATAAATAAATGGAGTTTGATGTTTTTTCCTTAATGGTTTGTCATCTCCTTCTCCAGACCATCGACCAGTTTGAGTTCGACGGCTGTGACAACTGCGACACCTACCTACAGATGAAAGGCAACCGAGAGATGGTTTATGATTGCACCAGTTCGTCGTTTGATGGGTGAGGATGTTCTCTTTTGCAGGCAGGTCTTCCAGTCATGTACTTGTTCTGGGTCATTTTCAAGCATGGAGTCCAGGCACAAGAGATCAAGAATGATCCAGGAGTTAATTGACTCTCACCCAAACTGTTGTTCAGATAATACAAAGCTTGAAAAAAAATCCCATGTGAAGTGGAAATAGGCAAATAAATAAATAAAATCCTGACAACTGACTATCCAGCCTCTGATTGAAGAATAATGAGCAGAGCTCCGGAAGCTATCTGTTGGGAGGGATCGGATTGTGTCTTCCTGCCTGATGGAAGGGGGGTGAGACTGGATGACCTTTGGGGTCCCTTACAAGTCTTAAGATTCTAAGATTTAAAACTGTAGCTGACATTGTGGCCAGAGGTGTGTTTCAGGCTGTTTTTTCATCTCCAAACGGAGAATATTCATTGCACGCAGTTTCACATTGGTTGGTTTTAACTGTTATCAGGCTCATATTACATTGCTGTTAATTGTATATTTATGTTATGATGTGGGTGCCATGGGGTGCCACTTTTTTAGCTGTCCCTCTGCGGAGGTTGAGAAAGGACGGGATATAAAAGCCCTAAATAATAATAATAATAATAATAATAATAATAATAATAATAATAATTCTGCGGAAACTGGTGAGATGAAAAAAATTAACTACAATACAATAGGGGTCCTGTGTCCCACACCCTTGCCCAAAATGCAAGTGTTCAGCCGTGCCCTCTTTGTTTGGTTCTGACCTGGTTGTTTTCCCGCAGCATCATCGCGATGATGAGCCCAGAAGACAGCTGGGTCTCGAAGTGGCAGCGGATCAGTAAGTCTCTATTTTCTCCTGACAATGTTCAGTTGCTGATCTAGTCCTCTGTTTGCTGCATGCCATAGAAAAGAACAGGAAAAGATTAAGGGAGAGGTGACCACATGACCTTGGAGGTGTCTAAGGACAACGCCAGCTGTTTGGCTTAGAAATGGAGATGAGCACAAACTTCCAGAGTCGGACACGACTGGACTTAATGTCAGGGGGAAACCTACCTTTACCTTAGAGTGGGCAGGGTCATGCAAATTCCACACCAATGGAGAGAGCCAGAAACACTGGGGTGTCTGTTGTGGAGGAAACACATAAAATCTAGGATGAAATTGTCCCCGTAGGAAAGCTTTCTCTTGGGTGTTGGGTAGTATGGTGTTTGTGGAGGACATTGGCAGAGCTCTTGGACATGTTCATGGCGCTCACTATGACCTGCAATGTCATTGGAGGGCCTTTGGTGTCTCCTGAGTAGCGGGAGCTATAGCTGTTTGTGGAGGCAGGAGCTTGTCTGTGTATGTGGACACCCTAGCCACGCACACATACATATTTTTACATTTTCTATGTGTATAGTTAGATGTCTCATTTATTTTAAGTATTCATTCATGTCCATAATTTTATATATTTATATTTATGAATATTATTTTAATGTCTATAATATTATTTATTTATATTTATGAATATTATTATTTTTGGTGGCACAGTGGGTTAAACCACTGAGGTGCTAAACTTGCTAACCGAAAGGTTGCAGGTTCACATACATGGAGCGGGGTGAGCTTCCGCTGTTAGCCCCAGCTTTTGCCAACCTAGCAGTTCAAAAACATGCAAATTTGAGTAGATCAATAGGTACCGCTCCAGGAGGAAGGTAATGGCGCTCCATGCAGTCATGCTGACCACATTATCTTTTTTTTTAAAAAAACTTTATTAAATATTTACAGATTAAAAGATTTTAAAAAATTTCAGTAGTGGAGTGAAGGGAAAAGAAAGAAGAAGAAGAAAAGGAAGAAAAAATTAAAACAGAAACTGTAGATGTGGAACACAGAAGGGTTGTTAGGGAGTGGGGTTGTGTGTCGGGGGGGCGGGGATAGGGAGAGGGGGGGGAAAACTGGGGGCAGTCATTAAAAAATTCACTTCCGAGATCCTTCCTGGAGGGTTTGTTCCCTTTTCCTTCTTCTGTTCTCCACCTCTTCCTCATCTTCTCTTCCTCCTTTCTCCCTCTCTCCTTTAGTCTCTCTTTTTCGGTAGGTACTTTCTTTCTGTAATCGTTATTGTTTTAATTTTGATTTTAATTTTATTTCAAGTATTCAGTTATAAGTGTCCAATCTGTTTTTTTCCCTTGTATTCCCTTTGGATATTCTCTCCATGTTCCTTATATCCATCATTTTTTTGTTCCGGTCTTCCAGTTTAGATATATCTGTTTTCCTCCATACTCTCACGTAGCACATTCTTGTAGCGGTTGTTGCTAAGAAGAGGAGTTTATCTGCATTATTTTCTATTTTTTGTTCATTTATTCCACATGATCTTGAAGGTGTGGCTTAGAAATAGAGATGAGCACCAGAGTCGGACACAACTAGACTCAATGTCAGGGGAAAACCTTTTACTATTATTTGATCATTTGATACGTCTGTCGTGTGTTGCAACAGATGTCCTAAATGTCTGTTGCAATCTGGCTGACAATCCTAGCTGAGATTTATTTTTGGGGCAGGGTTAGCTCTTCTTTTGGGAGGAATAGAGTAGTTTGGAGAAGAGCTACAGCTCTTCTAAATATGTCACCTTCCGTTGCAAACGTTAGGATTCTTGCAGCATATGAGAGCCGTTTAGTGGGATCGTAGTGCTGTATGTGTGGAAGAGACCTCAGACTGTCTTCACCAGATTGGTCTGAACTGCAGCACTTAATCGTAGTAACTTTTGTTTTTTTCATTGCATAGGTAACTTCAAGCCTGGCGTGTATGCGGTGTCTGTGACAGGTCGTTTGCCCCAAGGTAAGCAGCTCAGCTTTCCATTCCTATGCCTGTTAAGAACATCAGGGTGTAGTCTCAAGCTTTCCCCTGCCTTGGCTGCTTTGCGATCGAATCTATAGGCTTCCTTTTGTCTTGGGAAGTCAGTAAATATATATTAGCCGTTGACCCAAGGAAAAGAAAATCTTATTGTATTTTTAGCCTTTATGCTATGCGTTTCCACACATGTGTTATAGGGTATGCATTTTATGGTAATATTGAACTGTGAGGAGAGGTAGGTAGTAAATTATTATTATTATTATTAATAATAATAATAATAATAATATTGGCAGCCCATCCCTCTTAAATAATAATAATCATTATTATTATTATTGGCAGTTCACTCTTCTATAATAATAATAATAATAATGATAATTATTGGCAGCTCACCTCTCTCAAACAAAATCATTGCTGTTCTTACTATTATTATTGACAGCTCACACCCCTGAAAATAAAAATTATTATTTTTGGCAGATCACTTCTCTTAAAACAATTATTATTATTGGCAGGTCACTTCTCCCAATTATTATTGTTATTATTGGCAGATCACCCCTCTCAATTGAAATTGTTCTTGTTATTACTATGTTACTATTATTATTATTATTATTATTATTATTGACAGCTCGCTTCTCTCAAAATAAAAATTATTATTTTTGGCAGACCACTTCTCTTAAATAAAAATTATTATTTTTACTGTATATATTCCAGTATAAGCTGAGTTTTTCAACCCTTTCTTAGCCTGAAAAAGCCCCCCCCCCCCCCTTGGCTTATACTCAAGTCAAAGTTATTTATTATTTTACTCTGTTATTGTTATTATTTTTATTACATGTATTATTTTTCTCTATTTTTATCATTATTACATTTTTTATTTTCTCTAATAATTATTTTATTACATTTGTTATTTTACTCTATTATGATTATTACATTTATTATTTTACTTTATTCAGTATTATTATTGCATTTATTATTTTTCTCTATTATTATTACTACATTTATTATTTTACTCTTTTTATTATTGTTATATTTATTATTTTCTTTCTTTATTATAACATGTATTAATTTCCTCTGTTATTACTACTATTATTACATTTATGGCTTTCTCTATTTATTATTATTATATTTATTATTTTTCTCTATTGTTGTTATTTATTTTTATTATTATTATTATTATTAAATTTATTTTACTCTTATTACTATTATTACATTTATTATTTTTCTCTATACATTCTTATTACATTTATTATTTTACTCTAGTGTTATTTTTAATCACGTTTATTATTTTACTCTATTATTATTACATTTATTATTTTACTCCAGTGTTATTACATTTATTGTTTTGTTGAAGGCTTTCATGGCCGGAATCACTGAGTTGTTGTAGGTTTTTTTGGGCTATATGACCATGTTCTAGAGGCATCAGGAGAGAATGCCTCTAGAACATGGCCATATAGCCCGAAAAAACCTACAACAACCCATTACATTTATTATTTTACTCTATTATTATTGGAAGGATGCGTAAGCACATTTACATTGAAGGATGTTAGAATAATGGTTTAATCAGAGTTGGACAGTCTTCTCTCAAATTACAATGTTATGTAAATATCCAAAATCTTCAAAATGTAATTGTATTTTTATTTTGAGACTAGCCGTTCCCTGACACGCATTGCTGTGACCCACATGGGGGTTCTGTGTGGGAGGTTTGGCCCAATTCTATTGTTGGTGGGGTTCAGAATGCTCTGTGAACTCTAAATCCCAGTAACTAAAACTCCCGAATGTCAAGATTCTATTTCCTCCAAACTCCACCAGTGTTCACATTTGGGCATATTGAGTATTCGTGTAGAGTTTGGTCATTGTTTGAGTCCACAGTGATCTCTGGATGTAGGTGAACTACAACTCCAAAACCAAAGGACACTGCCCACCAAACCCTTCCAGTATTTTCTGTTGGTCATGGGAGAACTGTGTGCCACATTTTGTTCAATTCCATCATTGGTGGGGTTCTGAATGCTCTTTGATTGTAGGTTAACTATAAATCCCAGCAACTACAACTCCCAATTGACAAAATCATTTTTTTTTTTGCGTGAAGGACATACATTGGGTTGTTAGGTATCTTGTGTCCAAATTTGGTGTCAATTTGTCCAGTGGCTTTTGAGTTCTGTTAATCCCACAAACGAACATTACATTTTTATTTATATAGATTTACCAGTACCTGCTGCATTTCCCACCCTTGGCTTAGACTCGAGTCAATACATTTTCCGAGTTTTTTGTGGTCAAATTAGATGCCTCAGCTTATATTTGGCTTGGCTTATACTTGAGCATATACGGTAATATTATTGACAGCTCAGTGTTCTCTTCCTGTTTCTTCTCCAACCAAAAGGCATTGTGCGGGAGCTGAAGAGCCGCGGAGTGGCCTACAAGTCTCGGGACACGGCCATCAAGACCTAAGGAGATGCCTTCATCTCTTGGTTGGCTTTCCCCCTTGCGGAGCCGGATGTATATGGAAGCCCTATGGACGTTGTCTTCCAGGAATGGCCGCAGCTCTTGCAGGGAGACATTCCTGTAAATATTTTGTTTTTTAATAAATATATGTGGTTGTGGAATCAGAAAAGCGCACATTGAATGGTGGTGGTGGTGTGTGTTGTCCTTTGCACAGGGTGGAGAAATCGCTCCTCCATTTGGAAACATGTTTGTTGAGAGATCAGATGCATTGAGGCAACGTGAAAAGCCGGAACTTCCCAAAGAATCCCACAAAGTGACGGTTCCCGCTGTGATTTGATATTTTTCTGTGTTCCAAACCTAGCAAACCTCACCGAAACATAGGTCGAAATGATACGAGGATTGTTTTGGGGGAGATGCCAGTGGCACATGGAATGCATATGTTTACCCAGTTGAGAAACACTGGCTTAAAGCATCTTTCCTGCCCTGTTGCCATCTCTAAGGTAAAGGTTTTCCCTTGACATTAAGTCCAGTCATGTCCGATCCTGGAGGATGTTGCTCATCTCCATTTCTAAGCCAAAGAGCCAGCGTTGTCCATAGACACCTCCAAGGTTATGTGGCCAGCATGACTGCCTGGAGCACCGTTACCTTCCCTCCGGAGCGGTACCTATTAATCTACTTTGCATGTTTTGCATGTTTTCGAACTGCTGGGTTGGCAGAAACTGGGGCTAACAGCAGAAGCTCACCCCACTCCCCGGATTTGAACCTGCGACTTTTCAGTCAGCAAGTTCAACAGCTCAGCAGTTTAACCCATGGTGCCACTGGGGACTCCAAAAATAATAATATTCATAAATATAAATTGATTTATATTTATATTTATGAATATTATTATTTTTGGAGCCCTCAGTGGTGCTGTGGGTTAAACCGCTGAGCTGCTGAATATTATGGGCATTAAAATAATCTTCATAAATATAAATAAATAATATTGTGGGCATTAAAATAATATTCATAAATATAAGTAAATAAGCCCTCTCTATACGACCCTATTTAAAAAAAACCTCCAAAATCAGAACAATAAATAAAAAAACAACACTCAAAAACAGGGGAATTCCTGACAGGAAACAATCAGGGCCAGGTAACAGCTCCCAACAAAGGATTTCCCCCAGACAGGAAGCAGCCATGTTTTGAAGCTGCAAAGCTATTTAATCAAAGTGATCAATTGCAACATTCACACTTGCCTCCAGCAGACAAGAGTTCTTTCTCCCACTCTGATATTATTCCACAGATATATAAACCCCATTTGCTTAGTGGGTTGTAGGTTTTTTCGGGCTATCTGGCCATGTTCTAGAGGCATTCTCTCCTGACGTTTCGCCTGCATCTATGGCAAGCATCTTCAGAGGTAGTGAGAATGCTTGCCATAGATGCAGGCGAAACGTCAGGAGAAAATGCTTCTAGAACATGGCCATATAGCCCAAAAAAAACCTACAACCCAGTGATTCCAGTCATGAAAGCCTTCGACAACCCATTTGCTTAGTTCCAACAGACCTCACAACCTCTGAGGATGCCTGCCATAGATGTGGGTGAAAAGTCAGAAGAGAATGCTTCTGGAACGTGGCTAGACAGCCTGGAAAACTCCCAGAATAATACTGGATGCCTCTTTTTTCGTCCAAGATGCCAAGACAGTTGCGTTACCTTTCATATTCTTTGTGCCTCCCGATTGACTACTGCAATGTGCCCTTTGTGGGGCTGCCCTTGGAGACGGAAGCTCAACCTTGTGCCAAGTGCTTGCAGTGCCAGTCTTCGATGATTTGTACCTTGTCAGTACATTTCCAATCTGACTTCATGATACAGATGACGTTATGGAAAGCTGTTTTCTTTGGACCTGCCGCTTGGAGGCAATGTGGCTCCATTTCCCATCCTGGCCAAAAGTGTGTTCTAGCCAAATCCGACTCTTTCATCTCCTGCCAAGAGACTGGGGTTGTGCCAGGTTGGCTTCCAAGCCACATGAGGCCTTGCTTTCGCATCCCAAGAGGGCTTTCGTCCTTTCCCCAATCTGTGCTGTTCAAAAAATAATAGTCATCCGCATGAAAAACCCAAAACTGCAAATGGCAATGCAAGACCATTGCATTCAGGGTGCATTTGCAATGCATAGTTGAATTTTTGCAATAGTTTCAACAGTGGATGGTCAAATACATAGATGCAGTGTCTGTGGATATGGCTAGCTGACTATATATATAAAATATCAAAGTTATGTATAAGATAGATAATATCTGCAACAAATATATATAATTATAATTATATACATACACAAAGCATGTATATACATAGCATAGATGCATGCACAGTACACTATACACACACATATACACATATAGAAAACAATTATACACACACAAATCATGTGTTAACCTGCATCCTATACATAACATACATATTCTTGTTCTTGTAAGCCGCTCCGAGCCCCAGGGGAGTGGCGGCATATAAGTTTGAATCATAAATAAATAAATATACATACTATACATATATAATATTAAGATATATATATACACGAAGCAATCATACATAACCTACATATATACATACTATATATATATATATATATACACACACAAAGCAATCATATACATAACATATATACATACTATATAATATTAAGATATATATACACACATATACATAACATACATATATACATATTATATATATAATAAGATATATATGCACAAAGCAATCATATTCATAATATACATGCTATATATATATTAAGATATATAAATACACAAGGAAATAATACATAACAGACACATATACATACTATATATTATATATATATACACGAAGCAATCATACATAATCTACATATATACATACTATATATATACACACACACACACACAAAGCACTCATATACATAACATACATATATACATACTCTATATATAGTATTGATATATATATGCACAAAGCAATCATACATAACATACATATATAATACTATATATAATATTAACCTATTAAATATATATACACACAAAGCACTCAGATATGTAACATACATATATACAGACTATATATATAATAAGATATATATACACAAAGCAATCATATCCATAACACATATATACATACTATATAATATTAAGATATATATATATATATATATATATATATATATATATATATATATATATATGAAGTTATATATATAACATATACATATACACACACAAGGCACTCATATACGTAACATATATATTATACACACACACACACATGTTATATATATAATAAGATATATATGCACAAAGCACTATACTATATATAGTACTATATACTATATATATAATATTAAGAAATATATAAATATATACACAAAGCACTCATATACATAACATACATATATACATTCTCTCTCTCTCTCTCTCTCTATATATATATATATCTATATCTCACATATAAGTAGGAGGTTTGCAACCAAAGGAACATATATACATGTATAAGTATACGACAAGTATTTTGTTTTTCATCTATACTTGTTTCAATAATTGCTACACTGACTTGAGTCCTTGTATTAGGAAACAGATAATAATAATAATAATGAATATTAAATGATAAGAACAGTAATTATAATGCAAGTTCCAAAGCCCATAATGCAATGTATTGGGATCTGTTTTCTTCCTAGGCGCCAGGCCATGTTTATGACTTGGAGCTTGCACTCTGTCCATGCCCAGAGGCCCGGTTTTCCTGCCCTGCAGTATTAACCCTTGTTTTGCCTTGAGGCTTTGGTCGCTTTTTCACGCTTCTCTGGCTTGAGCTAATTCCTCGTCGCTTCCTATCTGGATCTTAATTCTTAGCAGATATTTCTTTGAAGGCTTAATTCCAGATATGCCACTCATATTATATATATATATATATATATATATATATATATATATATAGCTTTTCCCTTATTTCATTCCAATGTTCTCTCTCTCTCTCTCTCTCTATATATATATATATATATATAAGCTCTGCTTTGACGAGTGATTTGCCAACTCCTTAAAATGCTGCGCTTTTGGATTTTTTTCCCCATTTTCCTTCTGCTTTGATGAGCACAGAGAGAGGGAAGATATAACTCTTTGGGATATAATTCTCTCTCTCTTTGCTAAATGCAGATTTTAGAAACGGCAGTGACCTATTTTTGCCACAGCGTTGAACAGCAGCGCTCCTTCGAGTCGCGCAGGATCGCTTTCATGGCCTTTGCCAATGCCAGGGAAGAGGGTTCTTGGGCATGCACAGAGTTTCGCCACAACCCAAAAACATATCTCTTCGAGGCATCTTCCAGTGCCATTCTACAGTATGCTTTGCCCAGGTGTCATTCCCATCACTGACCACCTTTTGCTTTCTTTCCCTTCTTTTTCTTTCTTTCCTTCACTTATATTATTTTCCCTTTTTTCCCCTTCTTTCTGTTATTTTCTTTCTTCCACTTCCCTCCCTCCTTTCCCTCCATCTTTTTTTGTTTCTCCCTCTTCCCCTTTCCTTTCTTTCCTTCCATCATACCCTTCTTTTTCTCTTTCCTTCTTGCTTTCCTTCCCTCATATCATTTCCCATTTCTTTTCTTCTATTTTTTCTTTCTTCCCCCTCCTGCTCATCTTTCCCTTCTTTTTTGTTTCTCTCTCTCCCCCCTTTCTTACCTATCTTCCTTCTTCCCATTACTTCTTTCTTTCCATCCTTCCTTTCTCTTCCATTTTCCCCTTTCCTTTCTCTTCCTTCCTTCCCTCCTTTTTCTTCCTTCTCCCCTTCTTTTTTTCCATTTTTCACTTACCTCATACACTTTTCCTTTCTCTCCCTCCACCTTCTTTTCTCCTTCCTTCCTTCCTTCCTTCCTTCCTTCCTTCCTTCCTTCCTTCCTTCCTTCCTTTCTTTCTCCTTCCTCCCTCCCTTTTCCTTCTTCTCCTTCCCTCCTCTTTTTCTTTCCTTTCCTCCTTTTTCCTCTCCTTCCTTCCTTCCTTTCTTCCTTCCTTCCTTCCTTCCTTTCTTCTTCTTTTTCTTTCCATCTTCCTTTCTTTTCCATTCTTCCTTTTCCTTCCATCTTCCCTTTTCCTTTCTCTGCCCTCCTTTTCCTTTCTTCTCCCTCCCCTTCTTTTTCTTCTTCCTTCCTCTTCCAATTTTCCTTTCCTTCTGTCATTCCCCTTTCACTTTCCTTTCTCTTCCTTCCCTCCTTTTCCTTTCTTCTCCCTCCCTTCTCCTTCCTTCCTTTTCTATTTTCCCCTTCCTTCTTTCTCCTTCCTTTCCTTCCTTCTTCCTCCTTTTCCTTTCTTCTCCTTCCCTCCCTCCTTTTTCTCTTTCTGTTCTTCTTTCCTTCCTCTCCCATTTTCCCTTCCCTTCCCTTCCCTCATACTGTTTTCCCTTTTCTTTTCCTTCTTTCTCTCCTTTTCCTTTCCCCTCCCCTTTCTTTCCCAGTGGGATCACAGAGGGCCACTTCACCTAGCAACAGCCTTTGTAGTACAAATAAACACAAATACATTGACATCCGTTATCTATCTATCTATCTATCTATCTATCTATCTATCTATCTATCATCTATCTATCTATCTATCATCTATCTATCCATCCATCCATCCATAGTGCCATCTATCTATCTATCTATCTATCTATCTATCTAGTGAACTCTGCACAAAAACAGCCCCTCTCCATCTCTCTCTCTCTCTCTCTCTCTATCTATCTATCTATCTATCTATCTATCTATCTATCTATCTATCTCATCATAGGTGAGCACTCTTAGCCACGAACTAAATCGGCGACTCTAGGATTCTATCATCCATCCACCATCCATCCATCCATCTATCTATCTATCTATCTATCTATCTATCTATCTATCTATCTATCTATCTATCTATCTATCTCTCTACCCTTCCATCATCCATCCATCCATCCATCTATCTATCATCTATCTATCTATCTATCTATCTATCTATCTATCTATCTATCTATCTGACACAAATACATTGACATCTATCCATCCATCCATCCATATATCTATCTAGCACCTTGGAAAGCTCCATAAAGGAAAGGAATTCTTTGGGGCAATGGCTTGTTTTCAGAATATAATTCAGTCTTATGGCTTGTGTTAAATCCTGGAGTGGATTTATCAACCTCCTGACATGGATCAACTCAATAGTTTGGGGTTTTTGACTTTTTAATTTTGGGGAAATGGATGGTGAAACGACACTCGTATTCCGGCTCTTCTTAGGTTCTTTCATCCGTCAGAGGAGATGATGCCATTGGGCACATTTTTCCCTTTCAACTGTTTATGACAGCCTTCCCCGGGTCGGAGGCGGATCCGAGACGCGATCAGGGGGAAACGTGACCCCAATCTGTCAAAAGAGGCATTGTCCCCCCCCCCCCCCGAAGAGGAGGAGGAGGAGGGGTACAGTCTGTTTACGGCTGGGATTTGAAGGATTTCCAAAGGTGTGCGGCAAACATCATCCAAAGCTATAATAAAAGAATGCTTTATACCAGGATGGCTTGGAAGCAAGACACCTCTCTCTTTCTCTCTCTGTCTCTCTCTCATATCTGTCATATAATCAGCAAGATGGCCCTCTGTCGGGAGAGCTTTCATTGTATCTTTCTGCCTGGCGGAAATTAGATTGTACTAGATGGCTTTTGCGTTCTCTATCTATTGGAATCTATTTTCCTTGCCTAGCAGATGTGGGTTGGACTGGATGGCCTTGGGGATCCCTTCCAACCTTATGATTTTATCTATTGGAGTCTATTTTCCTTGCCTAGCAGACGTGGGTTGGACTAAATGGCATTTGGGTTCACTTGTAACTATAGGATTCTATAATATAGCTGTCCTTTCTCTATCATATCGATCATATCTGCAGCAAGATGGGCATCTGTCAGGAGGGCTTGGATTGTGTTTTCCTCCATGGTGGAAAGGAGCTGGACTGGATGGCCTTGGGGATCCCTTCCAACCCACTGATTTTATCTATTGGAGTCTATTTTCCTTGCCTAGCAGACTTGGGTTGGACTAGATGGCCTTTGGGTTCTCTTACAACTATAGGATTCTGTAATATAGCTGTCCTTTCTCTATCGTATCGATCATATCTGCAGCAAAATGGGCATCTGTCAGGAGGGCTTGGGTTGTGTTTTCCTCCATGATAGAAAGGGGCTGGACTGGATAGCCTTGGGGATCCCTTCCAACCCTATGATTCTGTCTATTGGAGTCTATTTTCCAGCCAAGCAGACTGAGGTTGGACTAGATGGCCTTTGGGTTCTCTTGCAACTATAGGATTCTGTAATATATCTGTCCTCTCTCTATTTGCAGCAAGATGGCCATCTGTCAGGAGGGCTTGGATTGTGTTTTCCTCCATGGCAGAAAGGGGCTGGACTGGATGGCATTGGGGATCCCTTCCAACCCTATGATTCTATATATTGGAGTCTCTATTCCTGCCTAGCAGACTTGGGTTGGACTAGATAGCCTTGGGGATCCCTTCCAACCCTCTGATTCTATCTATTGGAGTCTCTTTTCCTGCCTAGCAGATGGGTTGGACTAGATGGCCTTTGGGTTCTCTTGAAACTATAGGATTCTGTAATATATCTGTCCCCTCTCTATCGTATCAATCATATCTGCAGCAAGATGGGCATCTGTCGGGAGGGCTTGGATTGTGTTTTCCTCCATGGCAGAAAGGGGCTGGACTGGATGGCCTTGGGGATCCCTCCCAACCCTATAATTCTATCTATTGGAGTCTTTTTTCCAACCTAGCCGATGTGGATTGGACTAGATGGCCTTAAGGATCCCTTCCAACCCTCTGGTTCTATCTATTGGAGTCTATTTTACTGCCTAGCCAATATGGGTTCTATCTATTGGAGTCTCTTTTCTTTGCCTAGCAGATGGGGTTTGGACTGGATGGCCTTGGGGATCCCTTCCAACCTTGTGATTCCATCTATTGGAGTCTTATTTTCCTATCTAGCAGACGGGAAGTTGGACTGGATGGCCTTTAGGGTCTCTTCCAACTGTACAAGTCTATGAGCCCATCAAGGCAATTGCAGAAGCCCTTGGGTGTCTCCCAATCCAGCCACATCCCTGCCGTTGTGTATACTGGCATGTATGTGCCATAGCTTAGTGCAGGAAGGGAAATGTTTTGGGAAAATGTGGGAAATCTGCGATTTTTGTAATTTCGCCAAATGCACCATGGCGCGATGCAGAGTCCGGCTTCCAGGGCTGCGGTGCCTATGGCATGCCAGCCGCAGTGGTTGCCCCCCTTTTGCCTTCTCCCCGAATCAATCAGCAGGCATCCCACCCCTCACCTCACACCATCTCCATGGCAACGGCCTGAGCCGCTTCTTATTGGCGGTCTCCACGGCGTGTGGCGTGAGTCCCACATCAAAGCCCCAGGAATTTTTGCTCCGGCGGCTCAGAGGAAGGAAGAAGGAGACACGGAGAGCAGAGAGGCGAGGAAGGGATGCGATCGGAAGCAGCGACATGACAGCCAACGCTGGCTGATGCTCCCACGAGTGCAGCTGAGCATGAAGCCAAGCTCCAGCCGAGCAAAGCCTCCTTAGCAAGCGGAAAGAGCCGCCAACGAAATTGCAATTGCAAGACATCGGAGGTGTGCAGTAGCGCTATCGAAGGAGGTGATAACGCCGTCGCCGAGAGCCAAATCTTGCTGGCTTTTTGGGAGGAAAGCAGAGGTCCTGTTTGCTTGCCGTCTCCTCCTTTTGCCAACACGAAGGATGCTCTGGAGGATGCCGAAAGAGCTTTCGAAACCCAGAGGTGCGTAACAGCGCTATCGAAGGAGGCAATTGCGCCATTGCCGAGGGCAAAATCTGGACTAGTTTTGGGGACGAACGGAGGATTTCAATTTGCTTGCCATTCACTCCTTTTCCAAGCAAGAAGGATGCTCTGAAGGATGCCGAAAGAGCTTTCCAAACCCAGAGGTGCGTAACAGCGCTATTGAAGGAGGCAATTGCGCCATTGCCGAGGGCAACGTTTGGTGGCTTAGGGTAGGAACAGAGGATTTCAATTTGCTTGCCATCCACTCCTTTTCCAAGCATTGGAAGGATGCTCTGAGTCTGCAAGAGCAACCCATGGCATTAGAAAATTCAGAAGATCAAGACATTCCCGGAGGAGCGCAATAGCGCAATTGAAGGTGGCAATAGTGCCATTGGTGAGGGCAAAATTTGGCCTCTTCAGTAGCTTTTGGAGTGAAATAGGAGAGGAAAAGGAGGTATCAGTATTTCCTTGTCACCTTCTCCTTCTTTGGGTCAAGACATCAGCAGAACATGAGTAATAGCGTTATTGCGCCCTAGTGAAGGGAGCGATAACGTGTTTGCCAAGGCCAAAAATTGACCTTTTTGGTGACTTTTGGGGATCAAACAGAAGAGGAAAAGGAAGTGTCCATATTTACTTGCCACTTCTTCCTCTTTTGAGTCAAGATGTTGTCATCGGAGGAGGATGATACTGCTATTGCGCGGCAGTGAAGGAAGCAGTAACGTATTCATCAAGGGCAGCTGATTGTTTGGTGACTTTTGGAGTCAAGCAGAAGAGGAAAATAAATTGTCCATATTCGCTTGCCTCTTTTTTCCTCCTTCGGGTCAAGATGTTGTCATTGGAGGTGCGTGATACTGCTATTGCACTGCTGTGAACAAAATAACATATTCGTCAAGGGCAACTGATTGTTTGATTACTTTTGGGGTCAAGCAGAAACGGAAAAGGAAGTGTTCTTATATGCTTGCCACCTTCCCCTCTTTCAGGTCAAGTTGTCATTGGTGCAGATGCGTAATAGCGCTATATTGCGGGGCGAGGGATGCAATAATGCTATCGCCGAAGGCAAATACATAGCAGTTTGTGAGAGGGACAAAAAGAGCTTCTGTTTGCTTGACTTCTTTTCCTTCTTCTTAGGGTCAAGACATTAGCAGAGGTGCATAATAGCGCTATTGCGTAACAGAGAAGGAAGCAATAGCGCCATCGCCAAGGGCCAAATCTGGTGTATTTCCTGATTTTTGGGGTGAAGCAGAAGACAAAAAGGTGTGTTCAGATTGGCCTGCTATTTCTTCTTCCTCTTGCCAAGCATTGGAAGACCGAAAGAACAACCCACAGTCTTGCAAAACCCAGAGGGTTAAGACATTGTTGACGGAGGTGCGTAATAGTGCTATTTTGAGGTGGCGAAGGACGCAATAACACCGTCTCCCAAGGCAAAACCAGGTTGTTTGGTGGCTTTTTGGAGTGAAATATAGAAGGAAAGAAGGGGTGTTCCTATCGGCTTGCCACCTCCTCTTCCATTGGAAGGTTTTTCCGAGTCCTCCAATGAGAGTGATGTGTCCCATCTTCTCCCCGTTGAGGCCTCCTCGGTGATGCCAGCCGAGTCCTGTGCCAGCCAGAGACCTCTTGGCTTTGGTGATTGCATCTCTGGTGGGACTCCCTGATACTCAAGATGAAGGACCAAGAGTCAGACGGGTCAGAGCCCCCCGGTGAGGCCACGGCAGGGTCGGCGGAGACGGGGAGCAGCTCTTCCGAACATCGCGAAGCCCACCGTGAAGACGAGGTGCCATCCCGAGGCAGTTCACCATGTTCCTCAGAGCTGGCACAGGAAAGCAGTGGCGGGCAATGCCCATCGGAGCCATCATTGACCCAGGTAAGGACACACTCTGCCTCACATAATCGGGCCAAGTTGGGCAATGCTACTTTCTGGAAATATCTATCCCTGGCTCAATGCAATGGCCTCCTGGGAGTTGCAGTTTGGTAGGCAAAGGCTAAAGAGAGCTGGGAGATACGAGTCCTCGCACCTTATCATATTCAAGACCTCCTTGCATCCCTCCATAATGATGTTTGTCCCCATTTAGCATAGTTGCATAACCCTGAAAATCCTGCAATAATAAGGTGTATTGAACAACTGTACAAATCCATGGAGGACCAGTGAACCTCCATGCTCTGAGGCACTCCACCTTAGTAGCTGTAAGGAGCAAATGAGAAAAAGCAGAGCTTGCTTGTGTGCTTTTGGTTACTTATGAATGGAAACAGGATACTGGAGCTTGTCTGATCTGGACCAGTGGGTTTTTAGCATCAGCGCCTACTTTTGGATTCACTCTGGGATTTTTTGGGAGCATGGCAACAACATAGTACTATCTAT